AACATCTGACAAATCAAGGAAAATGCCCCAACTTCAAGTCCGATTTTGACCGTTAAAACGGCGGGGCCCGCTTGGGCCCGCCGGACTTTTCTTAAAGTTCAACTCTCGAACTAAAGTTTCACGTAAAAATAATTCACAATACTGATCCCTGTTACCCCGCAAACGACCAACAGAATATCCATGTCAAGCGCGTGTGGTAAACAAACGTTTTCAAAATAGCATGATTTCCATTGACTAGTTCTGATGCAAAAATTGCTTACCTGCACTTACCTGCACTTACCTGCACTGGTCTAGATATTACACTAGCAGCTCCTAAGAAAGGTTCGTTTGATTCTCATGATGAGTGCACAAATCGGTCGAAAAACGACAACCTACTCTCCATTCGCAACGAAATATGTGTCCACCATTGCTCCGGCTGAGACGACATATGATTGGTCGAATACTGTCACGTGAACCGTGTCCAACACCGCCTGGTGGAGTACTGTGTAACGTAAATGAAAGGAATGTTGTGAATGTAAATTTATAATGAGAGTTTACTATATATAGTTAATGGAGCGTGAGGTACGTTCTCAATGAGCCGTTCATGGCGGCATCGCTTTCTATAGTGCTATTGAGCAGTTGTATTCCAAAGGTCAGCAAACTGTAAGCTTTATTGTAGCTAAACCTAAAACATTGCAGCTTTGCTATCTTGAGAACGTTATAACGAACCATAGCACTGGTCAGGAGCCCATCACTCCTGCATTGGTGCAAAGCATTGGGATTAAAGCACTATTTGACGCCCAAGTAGCCATATACGGCCACTTAATGGTCGTGCCCTTTGTACCACTTGTGACGTCATCAATTTAAATATCACCAGATATTATTGATAAGCAGATGGTAGTACTGGGCTAGGCCTTTCCCTACAATGATCAGGTTTCGATATCGACGACATTCCGACGTCGCAAATCGAAAAACAACGTTATCGGTTTTGGTGTAAAAACGGTGGTAAAATGGTCCTCTATGCCTATGATTGATCAAGGTCCATTTCTAGGCTTCGCCCATAATTAACATCCAACTTTTCACGGCAGCCAGAAAAAACATGCAACGCAAAAGGTAACCAGAGTAAAAGGGCCGAGAAAAAAGAAAGGAAAGGGGCAACAAACAAAATTGAGAACGGTTAATGGCGCATGCCCAGAATTGAAATATTGTCCAATTTTATACCTAATCCTCGAAAAATCTCTCCTTTTGGTAAAAAAGGTTTTCCTAGCAAAACGTAGGCTTATTTAGCATCATGGCTGCCAAAAAACCCAACTAAATGGTTGGCGAAAGTTTGGTATTCAAAGGGTTAAGATGTTACACGTGCCAGGGTAAGCTGTTTGGTAGTACAGCCTTTTCTACTGGCTTACCAGCAGACGAATGTCTCCATATAAAGCTCGAACAACTGTTCAGAGTCCGGTTTGAGTTCGTCTAAGCAACGTAGCTATTACTTATTGTAAATCTGTTGTTTAATTTTTGTAAACCTTCCATGGCTCGCCCAAGTACATCTGGTGACGAGGATGTCGATTACACAGCCCCCAAAACATCTTACTGTCCTCCAACGGACACCGAAGAACACATGGCGGAGGACAAACAAAATGATGCATACGGAAAAGCATCTATACTTAACCTCCAATTATATCATATAAGAGAGGCAAATCTCTAAAAGATACGCTCGTTAGAG